TCTAAGTTCTTTCTTCTACTTGCTCGGTTTTATTGCTGAGATTTTCCAGTGGGTTTTGCATTTCTCTAAGTGTGTCCTTCATTTCTAGTAGTTGTGATTTTTTTTATTTATGTGCTCTACTTCACTGGAGAATTTTCCATTCATATTCTGCACTATTGATACGGTTTGGCTCTGTGTCCCCACCCAAATCTCATCTTGAATTGTACTCCCATAATTCCCATGTGCTGTGGGAGGGGCCTGGTGGGAGATGTTGGATGGTGTGGGGTGGTTCCCCCATGGTCTTCTCATGGTAGTGAACAAGTCTCGTGAGATCTGATGGTTTGATAAGGGGAAACGCATTTCACTTGGCTCTCATTCTCTTTACCTGCTGTCATCCATGTAAGATGGGACTTGCCCCTCCTTGCCTTCTGCCGAGATTGTGAGGCTTCCCCAGCCACATGGAACTGTAAGTCCGATTAAACCTCTTTCTTTCATAAGTTGTCCAGCCTTGGCTATGTCTTTATCAGCAGCATGAAAATGGACTAATATAACCATTAAAAATTTTTTTTCTTTAAGTTAGTCTTCACCTTTCTCTGTTGCTTCCTTGATTAGCCTAATAATCAACCTTCTGAATTCTTTTTCTGGCAATTCAGAGGTTTTTTTTCTTGGTTTGGATTCATTGCTGATGAGCTAGTGTGAACTTTTGGGGGTAAGAACCATGATTTGTTATATTACCGGAATTGTTTTTCTGGTTCCTTCTCATTTGGGTAGACTATGTCAGAGGGAGGATCTGGAGCTGAAGGGCTGCTGTTCAGATTCTTTTGTCCACAGGGTGCTCCCTTGATGTGGTGCTCTCCCCCTTTCCCTAGGGGAAATCAGTACATCAAAGACACACCTTATCCCCATGTTCACTGCAGCACGATTCACAATAGCCAAGTTATGGAATCAACCCAGGTGCCCATCAACAGACTATTGGATGAAGAAAATATGGTACAGATAGAAATTAGAATACTACTCAGCCACGAAAAAGGCTCAAATCCTGGCATTCATGGCAGTGTACATGGAACTGGAAGACATTATGTTAAGTGAAATATGCCAAGAACAGAAAGACAAACATTGCATGTTCTCATTCATATGTGGAAGCTAAAAGAAAGTCAGTCTCATAGAAGTGGAGTAGAATGGTGATTACGAGGCCGGGAAGGGTAGGGGAGAGTGAGAAGGCAGTTTACTGATACAAAATCACAGCTAGACAGGAGGAATAATTTTTAGTGTGCATTGCACTGAGGGGGCTACAGTTAACCTTTCCAAGCAGCTAGAAGGATTTTGAATGTTCTCAATGTGAAGAACTCATCAATGCTTGAGGTGGCAGTTATGCTAATTACGCTGGTTTCATCACAATACACTCTAAGCCTCAGGATATCACAATTGCTGTGTGCCATTTAAATAAAAAGAGTCACTGTGCTGGACGCTAGGGGAGAGCGATGTCCCACTGTGAGATGGGAATGAAGGGCTGAGTTAGGAAAACAGAACTGTCCACTCTCAACGGTTCCAATGCCAGGGCACTTTCCACACCAGCAAAGAGCTGGGGAAGGGAGGCGACAGTGGGAAGGGCACTAGACTACAGGCTTGGGAGGAGTGGACATCAAGGCTGGCCTGCTCTTCCTGATTGTGATGACACAGGACTCCAGTGTCTTTCCTGAAGTAAAGACTTTGTGGAGGGCAGGCTAGGAAGAGAGGGTGGGAAGGGCCTCTCAGATAGGGAGAATTTGGAGCAGGCAGTGAGGGACTGAGGGCCCCATACAGACCAGCACAGCCCCTAGCCTGCCTTACACCCCATCTGCAGCTCCAGGAGGGACATTTGCTCGGACACCTCAGCCTCAAGGAAGGGCTGTGCCTCACCAGCCTCCCCTAGTTACCCTGCTCTCTCTGCTCTCACATTCCACACAAGCCAATCCCACATCTGGGACATCTGGGGGGACATGTGTGGATGGCAGGTACATCGGGCAGTGGGCCAGCAGCTTTGGGTTCCAACATGAAAACACCTCATTTTTAACATAAACTTTTTAAAGACCCCAAACACATCTGCAGGCCCATTAAGGGTTGCTGGCCACAGCATGCAACTGGCCTTACCCCTTCCCTCCCTTAGCCTTGTGAGTTCAACCCATTTATGCAGCACTGACTGTAAACCAGGCATGCTGTGGGCTCTTGGAGTAAAGCTGGGTCTCAGACAGCAAAGGCTCTGCTCTCCTGGACCTGCAATGGTCCTGAGGCCACCTGAGTGGCCCTTGGTGAACTGCGGCCAGGCCCTGGCCAAGGAGCCCTGAACCCAGGTGGGGTCTCAGCCTTCAGGCTGGCAGGAGACCTGAGGGCTACCCCTGTATACACGCACGCCTGGGAAAGCTTCTGGAGTTTATTTCAGGGGCAAAGTGAAGCCAGCGAAGGGCCCAGGTGGAGGAACAATCCCCTGACTGTGTTTTAAAGGCTCACAGCCAAAGACCACAGGGACAGTGCACCCTGGTGGTCCAGGCAGGGCAAAGGTGGCTTGGGCTGGGACAGCTGGGGAGGGAAAAGGATGGCAGGGGGCAATTGGAGGTGGGGGGTGAGGAGAACCCAGGGACTGAAGGTGACTCAGTGTTTGGGTTGAAAAATTGGTTAGACTGACAGTGAAGCTGTTTACTTGGCAAAACGAGGGTGCAGGGTGGGTGTGGAGAGGGGTGGGTCAGTTGCTTTCAGCTGAGTGTCTTCTCATGTCCCATGTAGGTGCAGGAAGTGCAGGGAGGGGCCAGGGCCAGGCATGGGCCAGTGAGTAAGCCTTGGCTGCAGGGCTGGACAGGGTCACCTGTGAGAGAGTTGGGGCAGGAGGGTGCCTGGAAGCTGAGACGAGAGGCTGCTCCAGAGGTGAATGCTCCGTCACCACTGTGGCCAGCAGAGAAGTGAGCACGGGGGTCCTGGCCTGCGGGCCCTGACTTTCTAACTGTGAGGTACTGCCCACAGGACCAGAGGGAAACATTAAGGGACCCAAACCACACACAAGACCTTATGACACTCTCCCATTTGTAACTCAAATATGTACGTATATATTTTGCAACAAGACAAATTTTAAACTATGGTTTAAAAATCCCCCTAAATTTGCTGATTGCAAACTTCTTGGCAAGTGTGTCCAGGCAGAACTCTTCTCCATCTTCTTCTGCTGCTGCTGCTGCTGTTTACCTGCTTTTCAAGAGCTTAGGACATGTACCGGCCATTAGTCAGATAAGAGCGGCTGTCTCTCAATTAGTCCCTTGGCCAGAAGGCCTATCTCTGCTAACAGAGAAATTGTCTCAGGTGCCTTAGATGGCATCCTCAGCCCAGAGCATTAAGTCCCAGTGGCATCACAGGCCTTGGCCACCTGTTTAGGGTGCAGCTCCCTCATCGGATCCTTCTCCACCCCAAGGCATCTGGACTTAAGCCCCCAGAGGCCATCTGCTGTCACCTGGGTATGCCTGGCCTTCTCCACCTCCCTGTTCCAGAGTCTGGGTGTCTGGGGCAGACTTCCTGGTTCACAGGCGGTGCCTTCTTTTTGTGCCCCCATGGGGTGGAAGGAGGAAGACAGCTCCCTGGGGCCTCTTTTGTAGGGCACTAATCCCACCATGAGGCTCTGCTCTCCTGACCTTATCACCTCCCAAAGGCCCCACCTCCTGACACCGTCCCCTTGTGGAATCTGGGATGCAGGAGCATTGTCTGGAGCATTCACCGCGCATCTTCCCATGTTTGCCAGGGACGTGGCCTGAGACTTTAATCAGCCCGGAAGTTCTCCCCGAGCGGTACCTCCAGCGGCAGCCCAGCCCTGAGCTGTTCATCCCCAGCAGGGCGGCCCTGCCCACCGTCGGGAGGAGGAGGGTCCCGCCGCTGCCACCCGCGGCCTGCTCTGCGCCCCCGCGCGGCTCCGGAGCTGCACGGCGGCCCCGCCACCTTGCACAGCGGCTCCCACGGCCCATCTGCAGCTTTCCCGCCGAGCCCTCTCAGCAGCGGCGCCTCCGCCTCAGGCATGGGTCCCTCCCTCAAGAGTCGCAATGGCAAAGGCCCGTCTCTTCCCTTCGTTCCTCCAGCTCGCGAGGCAGCGGCTTCCTCCGGCCCCAGCTAAGGACCTTCCACCTGCCGATTCCCTAATGAAGCTCCGGTGGCTTCCGTGGCTGCTTTCCCTTCCCGGACCCTGACGGACGCCCCGCGAGGCTGGCCGGGGCCACCGCTGTGTGAGGGCAGCGGCAGAAATGGCGGCTGTTCCTGCTGCCGCCCAAAGGGCAGAGATGCCTCCGCTCACAGAGGATGAGGAAGCCGCTTCCCTCGCCCCTGACTTCACGCGCTGGGAGCCGGTGGCCGCGGGCGGCCGCTCTGGCCTAAGCCTTCCGGCCGATGAGCGGAAAGGGCCGAGGAACCCACCTCTCGGGCTGCCGGGCTGCCAAGCGCTCCCCGGGTCGGGGCAGCCTCGTCCGGCCGCGGCTGCGCAGGGACGGCCGCTGGGGCGTCTCCGCGCGGCAGCGTCTCCGCCGCACGGCAGGCGGCGCTGTTCCCGCGCGCGACGACGCTCCTCGGCGACCAGCGCCTCTGCTCCGGCAGGAGCTGCCACCGAGCGCGATTTGCTGCTTTCAAAAAGGGTTTAGAACAGGAATTCCCTCAGCCGTGGTCATAGTAGAAGCTGTGTGAGCGGAAGAGCACCTTCAGGGAAAATTTGTGCGAAACGGGAGAGAGGAAGCCTGACTCGAAATCAAACAGGAACACGGCAGAAATTAAGGAGCCCACAAAAGCGGTGAGAGGGGAGCGAGTTGCCAGTTTATAGAAATAACGAGATGAGCAGACTGCACCCCCGCCTGGTTGTGAACTGTCTAAAAACAGACCCACGGATTCGGAAATCAGGGGCCGTAGAACAATAAATGCAGAAAATAGATTTATATACACAGATATATACATGGATGCACACATCACACACACTAGTTTTCTATTTATTTTTTACAACTTAACTTTTAATTTTGACATCTAAAGAGCGCATACAAATGTAGAAAGGACTGTGTAATGAACCCCTACGTACCACGTACCACCTGATTAATCATTAGTGGCTCAAGACTAATAATTATTGACTCATGACCCAATTCGTTTCATCAGTTTCTGCCTCTCCCCGTTCTCTCTCTAGCTCTCTTTCTTTCTGGATTGGAGTATTTTTGAGCCATCCCCAAATATATAATTTTATGTAACTACTGTGTCTCTCATGGATAAGGGCTTCTTAAGAGCAGCAGAGGGAAAGAGTTGGGTCAGAACCCAGAGCCACAGGGTGAGCTGTGTCCAAGCAGCACAGATCCGAGGCAGCGCTTCTGGTTGCCCAGCTTGTTTAGAAACATGATTAAATATGTGACATGTGAAGCAACATTTACCTTTATAAAAAGTGCCTCTGGACATGTGTCTCAGAACTTAAAGTATAATAAAAAACAGATTAAAAAAAAGAAGACTTGACAAACCGTCTTGTCTCTCCCTGTGTTTCCAAGTCTGTAACTATGAAATAGGCATAGGAGAGATGGTCTTACATATCTGTATGCTTCTGTCATTTACTCTAGAAAATTAGCTTTAAAATCAGTATTTCAAAAACCTATAATGCTTACAAATTAAATACATAGTAATAAGAATTATTTTCTGCCAAATACACTTTTTATTAAATGTGGGTGCTACTGAAACAAAAAAGTGCGTTCGAGGATAGATTGGTTGAAACCAAGCATCCTTTACTTTTTCAAATAAGAAGAGATACACACTGATACAAAATGAAACAGGGAATGCCCTTGCTGGCTAACGGGTGGGTTGGATGAGATGATTACTTCAGCGTGCTCAGCATGGTGCCTTCCCAGGATGTGATGGGAGTTCATGTTGGGATTTAAGAACATGGACTTTTTGGCTCTGTTGGTTGTGTGTTCCTGGGAAAGCTACTTATGCCTCAATTTCACCTGCAAATTGGGGTTAGTAATGCTTAAGCTCACAAGGTTGTTCCAAGGATAACCCGAGAGGGTGCACGAGAAGAGCTTGGTGCAGCACCTCCTGAGTAAGAACTACTCAGCCTATGTCAGCTGTTACGATGATTGGTGGATACCCCTTTGTGAATTGCTGTGTTCTGTGAGACCCCCCCAGAAGCACCTTGTACTTGTCACACAGAAGGCCTTTTGTCTCCACTTTTCACCCTACTTTAGAACATAGAAATAATATATAAGGCCCAGACTGAAAATGTAGGCTGTCATTTTTTTTCTACTCAAAAATAATAAAGAGAAATATTTCTTCTTTCTTTTTATTTCTGGTGGACCTATATATGTGTAAGAATGGTTTATTACTCTTGATTTTCTAAGTTACTTTTGGGGGAAAATAGTAACTCAAGACTCTAGAATTTCCTTTAGGCAGTTAGATATCATGACGACACATCTAAGAGAGTATGAGTAGGCTGCTTATGAAATTTATTCTGCCATCCAAAGATGATGAACTTAACGAAGTCTTCACCCAGACATAGCATAGGAAAACAGCTGAAAACCAAACATGAAGAAATTTTAGAAATCAGGAATCAGCACGTTACACACAGGGAGTAAAAATCCAAACAAGTGTGAACTCACCTTCAGGAGGAGCCCTGGAGACCTTGAAGCAGCACAGCAGGCCCAGAGCTCAGAGGAAAACAGCTGCACACCTTGAACTTTATATCCAGCAAAAGGGTTTTTCAGCAATGAATGTGAAACGCAGACAGTCTCAGATGAAGACAAACTAAGAATTTATTTCCAAATTACTTGTGATGAAAGAAACACCATAGGAAGCTCTTCAAGTAGAGAGCAACAGTAATAGGATAATCTAGAACTTCAGGGATGAAGGGAAAGTGACAGAAATAAGAAATATCTGGGTAAATAAAATGGACCTTTTTCTCAATGTGTATTATGAACAAGGGCAGAATCCATAAAGGGCACAGGGACTGCTGTGGAAGTGGCTTCTGTATTCCACACGAAGGAGCAAAATATTATCCTCTGTAGACTGGGAAAAGTTAAACTTGTAAATTGTAATTCATACGTGAAACAGACACCTACAGTCTGTGCAAAGAGATATAAACCAGACCCCAATAGAGAAATTAACATGAAATATTAAAACTGTTCCAAATGAAGATATAAAAGGAGAAATGAATGAAAAAAATGTAAGGGACAAACAGAAAACAAATAATGAGAGATTTAAATCCAAATACCCCAGTAATTAAATATAAGTGGCTTAAGCATATCAATCAAAAACCAGATCAGATTGAATATTTTTAAAAGATCAAAGTATGCTGCCTCCAGAAGGCCTACTTTAAATATAGTGATGTAGGGGGATGAAAAGATGCACCACGTAAACATTAATAATAATAAAAAAGCTTCGGTGGCTGCAGAGACTAGATAGACATCAGAGCCAGGAAGATTGTGGTCAATGAAGAAGGACATTGCACGGTGGTGAGAGGTCAGGTCCACAAGCAGATGTTGCCATCCTGAGTATCCATTTGACAGAAGAACTTCAAAATACACAAAGCATAAACTGATGGAACAGTGAGGAGAAATGATGGATTGATAATTGTAGTTGGAAGCTTCAACTCTCCTCTATCAGTTAGATGGTTAGATCTACTAATGGTTAGAACTAACAGAACAGAAAATCTTCTAGAAGGAGGATAAAGAACTGAACAGCATCACCAACCAGCTGGACTCACTTAACATGTATAGAACATGCTACTGAGCAATAGCAGCACACACATTCTTCTCAGGGGCACATGAAATGTTCACCAGGATAAACCATGCCATGGGTCATGAAAAGCTCTAACAAATGTAAAAGATCTGAAATCATGCAAAGCTTGCTTTTGACCACAATAAAGCTAAACTATAAATTAATAACAAAAAGATATTCAGGAAACCTCCAGCTACTTGAAGGCTAAATGACATACTTAGATAATGCATAGGTCAATTGGACATTTCAAGGAAATTAGAAAAAAAATTTGAACTGTATCAAAATTGGAAACAGAAAAACAATGAAGAAAGAAAATCAATGAATTCAAGAAAGTTCTTAAAAATATCAACAAAATTAGTAAATGATAAAGAGAAAAGAGAGAAAACAAATGATCAATATCAAGATGGAAAGAAATGATAGCATTATAGACACAACTGACATAAAAATGCAGTAAGTACCACTGTGAACAACTCTGCGCACCTAAATCTGACAAGTTAAAAGAAATGGACATGTTCTTTAAAGGTCACACAGTATTAAAACAAACACACTTAACAAGAAATAGATAAACTAAATAATCCTGTATCTATTAAAGAAATTAAATTTTTAGTGAAAAGTCTTCCAAAAATACAATTCCAGGTCCAGATGATTTCACTGAAAAACTCTACTAAACATTTAAAGAAGAAATATTAGAAACTGTATAAAGTCTTTTAGAAAATAAAAGAGGAAGGAGCACTCACTTATTTTATAAAAGCAGTATTATCTTGATGCCTAAACCAGAGAAAGAAGAGAAACACAACCGGCAGCCCTCATCATCATCAATTCTCAACAAAATATCAATCAAAACATGATATGAAAGGAATCATCCATCACAATGAAATGGGCTTATCCCAGGCATGCAAGGCTGGTTCTACTTTTGACAATCAATCAATGCAATTCACTATATTAACAGACTAAAAAAAACTGTGATTTTGTCCACTGATGAAGAAAAAGCATTTGACAAAATTCAGCATGAAGTCACGATAAAAACTCTGGGGCATTTATTTAAAAAATTCCCTACAGCTGATATCATGATAGCGACAGAGCAAAGGCTTTTATCCTAAGATTTGGAACAAGGCAAGAGTGCCCATTCTCACCACTCTTATTCAACATCACACTATAAACCCTAGCCGGCAAACGGAAGCGGAAAAAGGAAATTAAAAGGCATGCAGTTGAGAGGAAAGAAAACTATCCCTGTTCATAGATGTTGTGATTATTTGTGTAGAAAATTTCAAGCAATGTACAAAAAAGGCTTCTAGAACTAACAGGTATGCATAGCAAGGCTGCTGGGTAGAATGTCAACATTAGAAATTAATCATATTTCTATATACTGGCAATGAACAACTGTAAACTTAAACACACAAGCACACATACACACATATATACACACACATATGCACACATACACACACGCGCACACACACACCATTTACAATAGGGTCAAAAAATGATTAGGTATAAACCTAACAAAACATATAGACTTTATAAGCCAAAAACTATAAAACACTGATGGAAGAAATCAAAGAATATGTAAATGAATTGAGAGACATATTGTGTTCATGGACTGGAAGACAGAACTTATTTATCTATATTATCCACATAATCTATAGATGTAACACAATTTCAATAAAAATTTCAACAAGTTTTAAAAAATAGATACAGGCAAGCTCATTCTGCTATTTACATGAAAGGCAAAGAAACTAAAATAGCTAAAATAGTTTTGAAAAAGAAAAAAAAAGTTGGAGGACTCACACTGCCTGCTGTTAAGACTTAACATAAGGCTACATTAGTCCAGACAGTGACATTGACAGAGAGACAGAAACACGTGTCAGACTAACAGAATAGAGAACCCAGAAATACACACACACACACACACACACACACACACACACACACACACACACATTGTCAAGTGGCCTTTGACAAGGGTGGAAAGACAATCTGATTGGGAAAGGACAGACTTTTCCACAAATGATGTGAAAAATGGGTCATCCATATGCCAGTACAGGCAAATCCACCACCTTGCTCTAAACCTCAAACCTTCTACAAAAGTTGACTGAGACTGAACTGCAGAGTTAAATGTAAAACATAAAACTAAACCTTTATTAGACTTTATAGGAGAAAATCTTTGTTGCCTGGAGTTAAGCAAAGGGTTCCTAGATTTATCACCAAAATTTTTATCCAGAGGAGGAAAAATTGTTAAATTTAACTTTATCAAAATTAAAAACCATCGCTCATGAAAGACATATTTAAGAGAAGGCTGGAAGAAAACAGTTGCCAATCATGATATCTGACAGCATAAAAAGAAGTCTCAAGACTCAACAATAAGAAAATAACTCAACTTAGAAAATGAGCAGAACATTGGAAGAAACACTTCCCCATAGAAATTAAGAGGACAGCACATGAAAAAGTGCTGGGTATCATCAGACATTAGGAAGTGCAAATTGCAACCACAGGGAGATGCCACTCTAGACACAATAGAATTGCAAAACACACAAGCCGATGCAAGCACAGGACTGAAGGCAGCAAGTGCTGGGGGGGATGGAGGAATTCTTATGCACGGCTGCTGGTGACACAAGGCAGTTTGGCAGTTTCTTATAAACCTTAGCCTGTGGCCCCACAATTCCATCCCTGTATACACCCTAGAGGGAGCATAACACGTTACTGTAAAAACCTGTGCACCAATGCTTATAGCA